CTGATCTTTCGTCAAAAATTTCATAATTCCGCTCAAAACGATCCGAGAACAATGAATTTGCGAGACGAAGAGGCCGCCATGAATCAGGTAAAACAATATGTTACATGCAATTTGATTGGTCCAATCGCTTGTAGTTAACCAATCGCTGGGCCGTATATAATCGAGCTAAGACTCCCGCAACAAATAATGCCTTCAATGATCTGATTAGTTTAAGCTTTCATACACGTCCAATCCCAGGGCTGTTTACAAACGGAAAACAGAGAGACTGTTCGGGAGAGCTCGTGAAAACTCGACGATAAGGTATCTGACCGCCCCTAAATTTTTCTCAACGGATTTAGACGATTCACAAAAATGATCAATTTAAGAAATAAAACGGCGGATTTCCGCGGATCCGCGGAAAATTGCCATGTATGAAATAACATCACTTGGGTCCACAGCCGGGCGGGACGACAGAATTAAGCAATACATAAATAATGCAAATATTAAACATAACATACCTGGTGACTTTGAGCATGGAAACAATGAATGCATTACCTTGACGTTGATGAGCAGCTCCCAAAGGTTGCGCGGGGGCATCACAATGGTGGTGTTGAGCTCGATGACGTAGCACTTGTCCAGGGCAATATCATGGTAAGCGGTCAGTCCCTACAAAACACAGACGCTTGTTGCAGATGAAGATGACAGAATAAATCGCTTTAAAAAGAAGATTCTAAAAGATTTCAAGTCAGATGTTATTTGGGACATGCTAGCAGCAGGCCTCTGGAAATGTCGCATGTATGTGAAGAATGTTTACAACTCCAAAATTATTATACAGCGGAAGATACCATTTCAAATACAGTCATACCTCGGTTTTCGAACGTCTCTGTTATCGACCAAATCGGATTGCGACCAGAAAATTCGAGATTTTTACACCTCAGATTACGACCGAAAACCGGTTGTCGACCAACCTGAGCAAACCCGAATATGCCACTCGACTCCTCTCTGCTTCCTTACACGAGGAAGTGACGCTTCCTCGTGTAGAGTTCATTTTGAGCAGACGTGTTTGTTGTGATTTACGCAAATCTGACTTTTTTGTTATTTCTGCACAGTAATAAAATAGTTTCGGATTTCGAACAAATCGGTTTTCGAACAGCCTTCTGGAACGGATTATGGTCGAAAACCGAGGTATGACTGGATTTTGGAAACGCTTCAAAATTTGAGGAGGAATGTGCCTCAAAGGACAAAGTAAAGGCGAACAAGATGATAACATCCTGGATCCCCATGAACTAGTCCGTACAAAATGTGCCTTATGGGGTGAAACGTGGATAAAATTTACATCTCTGCAAATCAAATACAAAGTACGTTGGCTCACTCTGTGAAAATCGTGGATGATGTCAGCCGGATCACTGCCTCCAAAATGAGGCACGGGCACGGTGATCTTCTCATAGTTGTCGGCCAAGTAGATGCCAACGTTTTCTGCCAATTCCTGTCGCCCACGCAGCGGTGCGTACACAGAGTCCTCGTAAACCACCTTGCAATGGAACAAGTTCTCCTCTGGGGCCTGTTTTCAAGCACACAATGCCAGAAATTGTTCTCATAGTTGATCAAACTTACTCTGACATTTAAAACAAAACAAAACAAAAAAACAAAAACATGTTTCACTCCCCGGTTTTGAAATGCACATTTTGCAGTAACATTAGACAAATCGGCGGCCTTACGTGAGGTATGAAGTAGTAGCGGTACACATAGATGGAGGAGAGGACCAGACCGGCCATGAAGACAACCAGGCCAAACGTCAGGCAGCACATCCCGTTGAGTGGAGACTTCTTGGGCCGCCACAAAGGTAGGACGGGGTCATCCTCCTCCTCCTGGGAAACACACATATTGAAACTGCTACCTTCCATCAAACACTTTCCATCTCACTGAACTTCACTGACACCAGTGGACGACTACCGATGGCGACAAAATGTTCTATACAGTATTTCTAAAAACTGTCAGTTGTTTGTAAGAAAACGTTTGGGTTTTTTTTCTCTCCTCTACACCCCTCGCGATCGACTTGGGACCAGTCCGCGATCTACCGCGCTTGACGTAAAAGGCACTCTTGTGTAGTACGTCATTGGGCCGAAACAGCGAGCTCCGTTGGATATTAGTGCACTGTGATTAAAAGCAAAAAGAGGCAGAGCAGGTTCCCTACTAAGCTTTAGTAACAGACATTCCCACAAAGCAGAGCAGGGATAACATATGCAGGTAAAAATATTTGACAGCTGTAGGCAGCTCTAGTTTGAAAGTTTGTAATTTCCGTAACATCAATGCCAATTTCTTTTAGCCCATCCACACTGTTTCACATTATGTTAGTATCACGCAAGCAGACTTTCAAAGGATAAAATTAGATGGTGTGGTTGAACATTTTACTTTTCAAAAGTATGTTTGATTCCCTTGTATTTTATTTGTCAGTTTTACAGCAAACTTCAACTGGGGAGTGACAAATAACTTGAAACAAGCACACTCCGCTCTTATTTTGAGAACTGTTTAAGTGAGAGTCTTCTTTGTTTTATTTCCTTAAAGCGATGTTCTACGAGTCTCCGAAATTTACAGTTAAGATTAATTTAACAGTTATTGTAGATTGCTTTGGGCTACAGTTACTGTACACTGCGAGAAGTGTTTGGAATATTACACTCTATGTAGGTAACTAGTAACTTTTAGTAAAAAAAAGTTATTTTTGCTGTTTCTAATATAGGATTACTAATTTTGCACCTGTACAACCGCTGTCAATCCCTGTGTCACTCTTCCCGTTCCCCAAAAACCCGTGCTCTATATCCCCTTCGTCGAGGCAACACTGCCCCCTAGCGGTGTAATATCGTAAGGGTTATTACTAAAAATTAAACAACAGGTTACTAGTAACTTTTAGTAGCAAATGTTTTTTTTGCTGTTTCTAATATAGGATTACTAATTTTGCAAGGACCAGAGGAAATGATGAGAGTACTTGGCAAAGAGATACTCAAGATGAGACACGATGGTGTGAATCCAGCATTGACGCCTCCAGTCTCACAGCCCATCTGCGAGCATCACTTGCACCCATCTTTTTTTTTTTTTTTCGGTTGCATTACCTTGACGTTGATGAGCAGCTCCCAAAGGTTGCGCGGGGGCATCACAATGGTGGTGTTGAGCTCGATGACGTAGCACTTGTCCAGGGCAATATCATGGTAAGCGGTCAGTCCCTACAAAACACAGACGCTTGTTGCAGATGAAGATGACAGAATAAATCGCTTTAAAAAGAAGATTCTAAAAGATTTCAAGTCAGATGTTATTTGGGACATGCTAGCAGCAGGCCTCTGGAAATGTCGCATGTATGTGAAGAATGTTTACAACTCCAAAATTATTATACAGCGGAAGATACCATTTCAAATACAGTCATACCTCGGTTTTCGAACGTCTCTGTTATCGACCAAATCGGATTGCGACCAGAAAATTCGAGATTTTTACACCTCAGATTACGACCGAAAACCGGTTGTCGACCAACCTGAGCAAACCCGAATATGCCACTCGACTCCTCTCTGCTTCCTTACACGAGGAAGTGACGCTTCCTCGTGTAGAGTTCATTTTGAGCAGACGTGTTTGTTGTGATTTACGCAAATCTGACTTTTTTGTTATTTCTGCACAGTAATAAAATAGTTTCGGATTTCGAACAAATCGGTTTTCGAACAGCCTTCTGGAACGGATTATGGTCGAAAACCGAGGTATGACTGGATTTTGGAAACGCTTCAAAATTTGAGGAGGAATGTGCCTCAAAGGACAAAGTAAAGGCGAACAAGATGATAACATCCTGGATCCCCATGAACTAGTCCGTACAAAATGTGCCTTATGGGGTGAAACGTGGATAAAATTTACATCTCTGCAAATCAAATACAAAGTACGTTGGCTCACTCTGTGAAAATCGTGGATGATGTCAGCCGGATCACTGCCTCCAAAATGAGGCACGGGCACGGTGATCTTCTCATAGTTGTCGGCCAAGTAGATGCCAACGTTTTCTGCCAATTCCTGTCGCCCACGCAGCGGTGCGTACACAGAGTCCTCGTAAACCACCTTGCAATGGAACAAGTTCTCCTCTGGGGCCTGTTTTCAAGCACACAATGCCAGAAATTGTTCTCATAGTTGATCAAACTTACTCTGACATTTAAAACAAAACAAAACAAAAAAACAAAAACATGTTTCACTCCCCGGTTTTGAAATGCACATTTTGCAGTAACATTAGACAAATCGGCGGCCTTACGTGAGGTATGAAGTAGTAGCGGTACACATAGATGGAGGAGAGGACCAGACCGGCCATGAAGACAACCAGGCCAAACGTCAGGCAGCACATCCCGTTGAGTGGAGACTTCTTGGGCCGCCACAAAGGTAGGACGGGGTCATCCTCCTCCTCCTGGGAAACACACATATTGAAACTGCTACCTTCCATCAAACACTTTCCATCTCACTGAACTTCACTGACACCAGTGGACGACTACCGATGGCGACAAAATGTTCTATACAGTATTTCTAAAAACTGTCAGTTGTTTGTAAGAAAACGTTTGGGTTTTTTTTCTCTCCTCTACACCCCTCGCGATCGACTTGGGACCAGTCCGCGATCTACCGCGCTTGACGTAAAAGGCACTCTTGTGTAGTACGTCATTGGGCCGAAACAGCGAGCTCCGTTGGATATTAGTGCACTGTGATTAAAAGCAAAAAGAGGCAGAGCAGGTTCCCTACTAAGCTTTAGTAACAGACATTCCCACAAAGCAGAGCAGGGATAACATATGCAGGTAAAAATATTTGACAGCTGTAGGCAGCTCTAGTTTGAAAGTTTGTAATTTCCGTAACATCAATGCCAATTTCTTTTAGCCCATCCACACTGTTTCACATTATGTTACTATCACGCAAGCAGACTTTCAAAGGATAAAATTAGATGGTGTGGTTGAACATTTTACTTTTCAAAAGTATGTTTGATTCCCTTGTATTTTATTTGTCAGTTTTACAGCAAACTTCAACTGGGGAGTGACAAATAACTTGAAACAAGCACACTCGGCTCTTATTTTGAGAACTGTTTAAGTGAGAGTCTTCTTTGTTTTATTTCCTTAAAGCGATGTTCTACGAGTCTCCGAAATTTACAGTTAAGATTAATTTAACAGTTATTGTAGATTGCTTTGGGCTACAGTTACTGTACACTGCGAGAAGTGTTTGGAATATTACACTCTATGTAGGTAACTAGTAACTTTTAGTAAAAAAAAGTTATTTTTGCTGTTTCTAATATAGGATTACTAATTTTGCAAGGACCAGAGGAAATGATGAGAGTACTTGGCAAAGAGATACTCAAGATGAGACACGATGGTGTGAATCCAGCATTGACGCCTCCAGTCTCACAGCCCATCTGCGAGCACCACTTGCACCCATCTTTTTTTTTTTTTTTGCGGTGTGTCACTATGTAGTAGAGCTGTCCACGAATCGGTGATGAGCCCAATAGAGAAGTGAACTGGCCGTTAAAAACGAAACGCTGAATCTGAATTTTCGGATTTGAGTCAGAACGGGGCATAGTGGATTCTCAATAAGGAATATTTGGGCGGCAACACTCATCTCTCAGTATGAGCGATGTATCGTAGCCTTGAGAGCTGTCCACGAATCGGTGATGAGCCCAATAGAGAAGTGAACTGGCCGTTAAAAACGAAACGCTGAATCTGAATTTTCGGATTTGAGTCAGAACGGGGCATAGTGGATTCTCAATAAGGAATATTTGGGCGGCAACACTCATCTCTCAGTATGAGCGATGTATCGTAGCCTTGTAGAATGAATCAGGCCAAGTAGCGAGCGACCAATAAACTCTAATGAGAACAAAAAGGGTTACTGTTGCCTGTAACTACGCCAAAACAGCAATGCTAACAAACTGGTGCGTGGTTTCCAGTGGCCGTTTCGCAATCTGAAGAGTGCAGAGTAGTGCGTCATGAACTCGGCAAGTACAGACTCCCTAAAAACGTGTGCGAGATTGCTCCTTGTAAATTGAAACAGTTGTGTACTTATCTTCCTTCTGTAACTGATGTGTTTCCCTCATCGCAGCCCGAAATACACCTTGGAATGTTTTCCCTAGCCAAACTTTCACAAGTAATTCAACCGACGCCTCCCTGTTTTAAGGGAGCTGACAAGAACATCTTATTATTCCGTGTGTTCTGAGTTTATTTGTACTTTCCATTGGAACAGTATTTGGGCCGCAACTGATAACGTTTCACAGGGTCACAACACGTTTGTTTATTCGCCGTTGGTCGCTCACGCCGTCCTAGAAAGGGAAAGGAAATACGAAAATGACACTAGCTAACAGCGGGTGCAAAGCAAGTGGATGGATTTAAAATTGTTCCAAAAGAATTGAGGGCTAATAGAGAGCCATACACGAATAGACTTCGTGTATGGCTTGTTTATAACAGCCCTCCAATATGGCCGCCGGTAGTGCATTGTGGGTAATTGCTAAAAGGACGGAGCCCTCTATACCCTTGGTTTTGCCATTGGCCAGTGTATGGCGAGGGATCCCAGGGGTGAAAGTAAATTATTTTAAACTCTGGATTATGAATTATGGGTGCTTAGGCTAACGTGCCTGTTTGCACTGATGTTCGAGCTTTCGAAAAAGCCGAAATCATTTCTGAGGTGCCGCACAGTCACGAGACTGACTGACAATGACGAGGGGGAACTTTGCGTGTTTCACTGTGAACTTCCCCAGCTGTTCATGAAAATACGATACTCCATTTAACATTACGATATCATTTTATTTTTATTTTTTGGGACGACGTGTTTTTTCTGCACAAGTACAAATACTGTAGTAACCCATTTGAGTTGATTCAGGACGCGCTTGTTAAAAGGTAAATGAATGGCAAATGCAGCTTTTGGGTCGGAGTCCAAGCTCTACGATGTAGTAGCCACCAACTCTTTTGCACTAACGTTTCAGAACTAACACTGAGAAGACAGCTAAACACATATCTAAAAACAAATTCCCAAATCGTGAAACCAGGTAAAATGTGCACAATCTTGATTTTTAAAAAATCTAAATAAACAACGAATACAAACATTTAACTGGTTTTGTTTCTCTTGTTTTCTTGTCAAGACTCGAATTGACTTTGCGTAAGCCTTTGACAAGATGTGCAGCGCTCCCTACGTAATTTCCCGAATGTTATGACAGTGAACGGGAACATTTGCGGAAATTGCATGGGCGCGTGAGGACAAGGACACAACGGTGCATGTGTGAACACCTTCTGTTCCACGCAGCTCTTTGTGTTCTCTCATCCCACACTAGACGGAGGCTTTTATTTCACACCGGCTGAAAGCGTGACGCACCACGAAGCCCGTGTCTCCCCCGCTTGTCTCTCGAAAGCACATTTCCGAGTCAGGAATGCACACAAAGCGCTACAGTTTCTCAATATTCCCTGTCCATCGTCACCTTCCTATTTAGGGATTCTACCATACGCATCGTGAGCTGATGACTGCACCGCTCACTCTCCTGTGAACACTTTTAATACGATCCCGCAGGCAGCCCCATCTGCCATTTTGTCAGCAAAACCTGGTGCATTTCTCCTATCCTGCAGAAGCGAATGGGGTGCAATTCCATGTACTTTTTGGGGTAAATTCTCGCAAATCGCGACAGACTTCAAGTTTCTCTTGTTTTCTTGTCAAGACTCGAATTGACTTTGCGTAAGCCTTTGACAAGATGTGCAGCGCTCCCTACGTAATTTCCCGAATGTTATGACAGTGAACGGGAACATTTGCGGAAATTGCATGGGCGCGTGAGGACAAGGACACAACGGTGCATGTGTGAACACATTCTGTTCCACGCAGCTCTTTGTGTTCTCTCATCCCACACTAGACGGAGGCTTTTATTTCACACCGGCTGAAAGCGTGACGCACCACGAAGCCCGTGTCTCCCCCGCTTGTCTCTCGAAAGCACATTTCCGAGTCAGGAATGCACACAAAGCGCTACAGTTTCTCAATATTCCCTGTCCATCGTCACCTTCCTATTTAGGGATTCTACCATACGCATCGTGAGCTGATGACTGCACCGCTCACTCTCCTGTGAACACTTTTAATACGATCCCGCAGGCAGCCCCATCTGCCATTTTGTCAGCAAAACCTGGTGCATTTCTCCTATCCTGCAGAAGCGAATGGGGTGCAATTCCATGTACTTTTTGGGGTAAATTCTCGCAAATCGCGACAGACTTCAACACACAGATATATACATCGACTGCAATATCGCCATACAGTACCGGCTTTGCGTGTTGTCCTCTGCATAAAAATCTACCGCGGATGGGTTTACACTAAGTTCAATGGAGGCTAAAATGAACGCATTGTAAGAGGAAGCCATAACAGCACAGGCTGGTTTTGTAGTTAAACAAATGGCGATAATGTGACATGTCAGGCTTCACATTGGCGTGGATGTACACGACGCACAGTCACCCCGGGTTATAATAAAACAACAAGCAACATTTATAACAACAGAAGAGATACGATTCAAAACAAAACAAATAACCAAAAGGAAACTGAACTCACCGTCGGGTGGGGAATGAGGATTTCCGTCTTGTCGCCATTGTTCTGTTTATCTTCTTTCTGCTCCGCGACAGGCTGGAAAGTGATCTTCACCATGTTTCGGTGTGTTTTAGGTCAATTGTGTGTGCCTGCTCTACAGATCGTGTCGAATAACTGGTCACAAATAAAACCTTCACCTTTCAGACGGGCCACGTTCTCACCGCTAAACTGCTTTCTGTTTGTTGCTCTCTACCGGAAGTGGGCTCTTCCCCCCCTTATCCTTCATTCTTAAAGGGCCCTTGACAAGGGCACTATCTTCCCCCCCCCATCCTTCATTCTTAAAGGGCCCTTGACAAGGGCACTGTTCTCGTTCTTTGTCCCACTGTACGGTTGTGATCACATTTCAATCATCACAGGAACTGACAACATCCAAATTTATTTAATAGCTTAATCCAGCCCACGACCACACGAAGTGGCCTCTTGATTAATCATTTCTCTGCACACGTATTCCCGCTATTTGCAGGTCAGCCCGGTCACTATTTGCCACGAATAGCAGGGACCCACTTTATAGTTTGAAATTGTAACATCACTATTGACCACTAGATGGCCAATATGGCTTCGATGCACTTCTACCGGGTCTTATTACGTTCCTCTACTGTACTAAATGCAAACTCTAGAGGATTGCACATGCAAATTTTCTTAAATTTAATTACCGGTAGAAAGGGAACTGTAAATCTGCATAAATGAAAGCATTTACTTTTGTTTAATTATTTTTTTAAATCGTTGAGAAAAAAAAAATAGCCCTTTGTTATCCCATAACCAGTGCAGTTTTGGTGGACACTACACCATTTTCATAATGATGTTGCATTTCAAAATACTACACTTCTGAAATCTGTCATTTCAATATAACCCAGGTTAAAAACAAATATATAAAAACTACTTTAGAGCCTCAACTCTAGTTTAAAACAGCTGACCTCATTTTGAAACTCTACCCTCTGGAACTACACTTTGACCATTGTGTCCACTTGCACAATGTAATACGGTCCAATACAACTTCAGCAGGAGTCTATCACTGAAGTACACCAACGCAATCGGAGTCATAATTACATAACTGCATGTGCATGCTTAACACCTCTAGAACAAAGACATAAAACAAATGAAATATATTAAGTGCAGTTTGGCGGTAACTGCATATGCATTGCTGCGACAATTGGGAATGCTGAAGTACCATCTTGGCGCTCGACATAGCATAACAATGAAATGCTCATATTTATATCTCGACTGCATGAACACACCCCCACCCAAAAAAAAAAAAAAAACATTTAATTTCAAACTTTATTTCTTTATTCTTATTCGGCTCAGGACTTTGACACTTCCGAAAGCACCCGAATGTTTTACGCTGAAATTGGTGTCAAAAGCTGCATACAAGCTGAGTTCAACGTGATATTTCAAGGCTGTTAAAGTAACAACTCCAGTACAACGCCATTTGAAGAGCATCATGCACAGCCAGTGTAGGAACATGCATGCTCAATGTGCATGGAGGGGCTGGGCTCTGAGCAGTGCTGTTGCCTGCACTACAGGTATTTATTAACTGTTTGAACTATAAATAGTTTCCAGAATGTGGACTACCGTTGTCAACTCACTGCAATTCTGTTCATAGGTCTGCCTAAGTACCATGAGGACAAACCATCACACCCAGTGTCCTAGCCACAACTGCTTAACACTCATAATTGTACTGGATTTATCCAGCCATTTAAAAAAAAACTCTTTACAGGAAATAGGAAAGCTACCAAGGTCCTGCTGAGTTTACCACAGACGCACTTCCCAAGAAACACGCCAATAGCTCAGAATGAAGCGGGAAATACAAAATCACTGCTATTGAGAAGTGGGGATCTCCTGGGGTCCTCACCTCCAATTTGCAGTGAGTTACTAAGCGGGCGATTGGCTTGTAATTAAAGCTCCACTGATCTCAACCTTCCTTTCCTATTCAGAAGTGATGCTAGAGCCACCCAACCAGCAATGATAGTCATACTTCCACGTTCCCTCTTTGTACATTATATCAATGTCGGGTAGCAAACTGGGAGCTGCCCTTTAGGTGACATACAAGAAACTCAGCAACCATTTCAGAAGTAAAATGAAATGTAAAAACAATTGACACCAGTCTTGCTTTGGGTTTAGATAGTCATTTGAATACCATGAACGTTATGTTTAAGGTAAAGACCAATATTATATTCCTATGTTAAGGTTAAACAAAATCTACATACCAAAAAAAAAAAAAGGCCTATGTACATTCTCCCCATTCAAGAAAAGAATACAGAGAGGGCTTTTGGGCGTTCAAAAGTTACATCTCTCTTCCTTCGCCCGAGTATTTTCCGTGCTGGGTCATTTAACACAGCACACAGGAGGTCAAGACTAGCGGGTGGCCTGGCATTTGGGAGTTCACCCCACACATCGCATTGTATGAAGGCATTGACGCATGTGCATGTCAGTCTGACCACTGAGCATGGCAGCCACTCTGGCCGGGCCACGGCGGCGCCGCCAACAGGTGCAGACGGACCATCTGTCAGCTTCCGAGGCATGCAGAAAACAACCCTGTTTCTCGTACCGCTTCCATCACAAAGGTTGGAGGCCATAATCTTGCAGGATGTGCGTATGAAGCTGGAGGCGTTACACCTCTAATGAGTCTTCAGTAGGATTGAAATCTTGACTTCCTATGTGTGTCTCAAGTTATGGTTCAATGACTTTTGTTTACGATGGACTCGTGTGTTATTGGACCATATGTGGTTCAAGGTGCATGAAAGCAGCAGCGTCTACTGTTTTCTTTTGAACAAAGACTCTGGGATGAAACCCCTCCCCAAAATGTTCACTTAATGGGCTAGCAACTTCCCAACAACTTGAAATGCGTATGTTTTTTGTTGTTGTTGTTTTTAAGTTTGCTTCCGAAATTTTTGTTCAGAAAGCAGAACAGCAGCAGCCGATGGGTCCGTTAGGCAGGTGTTAAGCGGTCAAGACATGATGGCCCCGCCCCCCTCGTTGTCCTTGGCACCCTGCCTCAAGCCTCCTGCGGGGCAGGCCTCTTGAGGTCCCGGATTTGTTTGACCAGGTAGGTCTTTTCATCATTGAACTGTTCATCCTCCGTTCTGTCATTCTGGAACTTGCTGAGGAACTCGATGAGCTTGGCCTGGTTCTTCAATAAGATGTCCAGGATGGGCTGCGTCTTATTCGGGTTGGCCACAAACACCTGACACGAGAAGCAGAAAAGCACATGTTCAAATGTGGGCCAAGTGTGGTACCCACCATATGTCATATGGAACACACGTGCTGTATGTAAGGACGGTGGAGGGATCTGTCTTTTTTTTTTTTTTTTTAAGAAAAACATATCAGAAAAAAATATTCTGTAATGTACTGCGTGGTGTTATAAATTATTTCCTACGAGATTGTGACATAGTAGACATAAGATGGTGTTGCCTGAGCAGGTGGTTTTTCGTTTCCTTTACCTTAAAAACATGAAACGCCTCAAACTGAATGTTGCGGCTCTTGTCACGTAGCAAATTCATCATGAGTTTCAGATTTTCGGGCTTGCTGATGTACTTCGTCATGATGCTGAAGTTGTGCCGGTCAAGGAGCAACTCTCCCAGTAACTGTTAAACGTCGAGAGTGACAAAACGGACGACAGTCCATCACACAAACAATGGGAATGGTTCGCCACTAGATGGTGCTCATGGGGGGATTCTTGACACATTTACAAATGCTTCTCGCTCTTACCTTGAGGGACTGCCTTTTTGTCACATAGTTTTCAGAGTGGAGTAGCTTCTCGTATTCACTAAAGAACTACAGAAAAAGAAACAGAACACAAGCCGATGATCTCACTGGGAACAGTTTCACCAAAAAATGGCTTAACACAGCCCTAACAGAAATACTGTACAGTATGTCTGATAAAAAAAAATAAATAAAAAATACAAAAATGTTCAAGAATTCAAACTTGAGCATTAAAAGTGCATCATTTAGTCCCTCGAAGCACAATTTACGTGGATCAATGTCACACCTCACAACCACACAGGCATACTCTGCGCACTTACTCTGTCATAATGTTGCTCCAGAAACTCTGCGCTCAGTAGCTTGTGTCTTGTAAGGAGGTCCTACAATCAAATTCACAGCAAATTTAGACTTGGTCATGGCAATGTCTGCTCCCATATTCTCTGACCGGACAGGTAGAACAAAAACACCAAAGAACAGATAAGAATTAAATATCCAGACTCGAGAACCCTGAATTGGAAGGTATATTTTTTAAGTTACAGTACAATAGTTGTGCAAGTGAGAAGACCAGTAAATGGACAGACAGATTTTCTCATGCTTTCCAATGCATGTGAATAAAAATACAATTTGAGCGCATAGCTGCTCTACCCAAAAGTGATGCTCACGGTCCCATTAAAATGGTGACGTCACCTCACAAAAAGAAAAAAGGATCTAAATAAGTGTGTAAATGGCACACAATAATGTTAACTGACAATTGAAAAAAAATTACCTTTAAATGAAATTACAAATGCCTCTATTGTACCTAACACTTTGGCCTTCATATGGGCAATCTTCAATAACTCAAAATTACTTCATGTAGAAAAACATGAGGACACGATAAGATGCCTGTCGGTGTGCGGTATCACAATACAGTCTCCTTACTTTGAAAGTGGCGAAAGCGTCTGAGGCAATGTCAAATGTGGACATCTCCACGTATCGGAAAAAGTCATAAAACTGCTCCGACCACAGTGTGATTTTGGCTAGGGGTTCGTGTCGGATGCACTCCCTCAACATGATTCCACAGTTTAGGGCAATCTCTGGACACTCGTACCTGCACAGCACAACAACAGGTCCACTGAACAACTCTAGTATAAAGCCCACACACAAACACACACACACACACACACACAGCAGAGTATCGTTGCACAAGTGTGACTGGAACAAGAATGATATGAGGAATAGAATTGAGGTGGCCAATTATCAGCCCGGCACCTACTTCAAGATGCAAAAAAATGTTTCCTTACCCTTTTAGTAACATGAAGAGTATATTCTGCTGGGTACAGAGGTACTCCACCGTCGGTGTCCGAGTGCCAATCTGACGTCTCAAGATGTTGTTGAAGATCTGAGCTACATCTTTCTTGCCCTGTGTGTGAAACAACAAAGATGTGAATGTCTGATAAAAACAACCGCATATTGAAGACACACTTCCATAACACATTTCCGAAACTAAAAACTCAGTCTGGTAAAAATACAGAAAATTACGATGTCATGGCCTGTTTCCAAATTATTCAGTACGTCACAAGATCAACTTCTTCATGTACGGGGTCAAGTCCAATCACACCACCATTCTTCCAAGGTCTGATTTTTTTTCCCAGCGTTTATTTATCTGTTTCTATTCTTTGAATCCGGTCACTATTTTGCAGAGAATAGGCAGTTTTGTAACTCCACTCCTCGTTTTCACCAGTACCGCACACTACTGATATTTCCGGTTCAGTGAAGATCAAACTGTTATTCTTCTCAATGGTGCAAATATGAGGAAGAATGATTGAACTTGAAGTAAGTGAAGCGATACCGCTGATATCATGTTGGGGATCCCAAGTATTTCTACTTTGAATGTGATCAAACTAAAAGTATAACCTGCCTTCTACAAAAAAATAAATCTATATGGCGGGTGACTGATCCTAAATATCCCGTGGACGTCACCCGGGTGGGATAGAATACATTTTGGCACCCTTTATGTCTGATACATAGTAATTTTCTCTTAAGATGGGTACTTTGTTATTTTGCTTGTCTTCTTCGTCAATAAGCTTTTACCTCAAAGTCAATGAGCTGCAGGTCGGCTATCAGCGTGCTGAGCAAACCGCTGTTGTAAAGCTCCTGAGCCAGTTGGGCCACTGCTTCCGTCTGGGGCTCTTTCTCATTAGTCCCGTACAGGATTTCCTTCATGGCCACCAGGCTCTTTGACACCTCTTCCGTGGCCTGATGGAAGTAGACACACGTGAATGCTGAATTCATTCCGACATGATCCAAGAAAGTACTGTCTCAGCCCACAAGCAATTTTGTGAGATTCAGCCTACCTTCTCGGCCTTTTTGTCAGAGATGTCATGCTTTTCAAGCACTGTCATGCTGTCCTTTAGGTTCTTGACGATGTCCGTCGGCGACTTGTGGGACTTGCCAAAGGGGAACGGCATGGCGGTGGGTTACCACGACAAATTGGGCAGCGCGCAGTCCACCTGAGTTATCAAATATAAGGATGGAACAGGAATTTATACAGCGGGAAAGTAGCTTTCTGCCCGTGACGAGTTCGAACAAGTTCAAGATAATTGCAAATCCGTGTGTCAGTCAATGAAAGGATGATACACAAGAGGTGACTCTCTCAAATTATTCCATGCGGACGTGACAGCGGACATGTTAGCGCGGAGGCTGACAAAATATGGTAACAGTAGATAAAGAACAAGTCGGTAAGTATGCACAAACCGAAGAACATCAGCATACCATGTGTACACCATTTCAAAAACTGCTCTTGCATCATAATGAAAGTGTGTCCAAAGTTATGACCGGCAACAGCCTTTATTCATCGGATTCAATGGCATACTGAAACAGCTTTTCCTGATGGCACATCGAAAATCAGCATTGTTCCCGTGATTTCCAAAAAGCTGCATCAGGTGTCAAGAGGCAAAAACAAGCAGTGTTGAAGTTCTAAACTCCTCCTCGATCCCGAATACTAGTTCAATCTTGTCAGGGTGATTTCAAGAAATACTTGTGTTGACATAAGCGATACAGATGTGCACAAGCTCTCCCACCCATTTTAAGAAACGCATAAACCTAAACATAGAAAAAGGTTGCTGCAGCTGACCTGGTCACGCAATCTGAAGCCTGAAAATGAAACTGTCATTACAATTATAGTGACCCAAATTATCATGGTTATCCGTACTATCGACATACTGCTTTGAGAAATTTGAAAACAGACAAACTAAATGAAAACCATAAACGATGCACACCTAAAAATGCCGTTATGGGGTCTCCTGAAAAGTGATCATTTTGAACATACGAAGCGATAAACACGTGTCCATTCTCCATCATGCTACTACAACAGACACACGATACTTTTTTTTAGCGCAATTAGAAAAAATAATTTCAAGATAGATTTTGACCTGATACAAATCACTGACTGTAATTAATAATTTCAAGTTGGCCACTTCCATGCTGTTGTTAGCCATTCCTGGCTCCAGACCCTCAAGTCAACTATCCACAAGACAACATGAATGTTTCGAATTTTTAATCAACCGTGCATGTAATAAGAACCACATCAATGTAAACAGACTCACAATTTATTTTAATCTAACACACATATTCAATGAAAACAATTACAATTCTCAGTCCTGTTAATTGTGTCAATATCTGTGTTCCAAGAAACAACCAGCTGTTGACAACCTTATCTCACTGCTGCTAGTTAACTTGAGCTGCAAAACAAGGTCTCTTATCTACACGAGCCCCTGACCCACCCAGTTACTTTAGACTCGCTCCAGACAAACATTTTCAGCAGATGGCAACCCATATCTTTGTTGTCATTTTAAAAAGAGCCTCTTGGGTGGCCATAAGAGATAATCCCAGGCTCAGTGAAAAGTAAGATAACAACAACCAATATGAAGTTTGCGTCACAGCATGACTCATAGCAGTCTCAAGGTCTATGTCACTCTCGCGGAGAATCACCGGAACTAGAAATTCGTGGTTCTGGATGACCACACTGAATCTCCCACTCCTTCATGAGTCCGTATGTGTATGTAGCATAAAAGATGTTTATTAACAATATAGACAACACCCCCGTCCACACACACACACACACACACACACACACACACACACACACACACACACACACACACACACACACACGTTTTGTACCAACACTAATATCCGTATCAAGGATTGAAACTGCAACCATTCATATTCATATTTACACACACAGCTAGCATGAGAAGGTTGCTTAATATTACATCCTTAATAATCTGGAAACACCTCAAGTTTGCCAGGTGGCCAAATCCGTCTTTCACCCCGACTAATGCTTGTTAACATATCCCGCAGGCAGCCTTTCTGCTCCTGACCTGCTTCAGTATCAGTGACGCAAATAGGAAGGCATCACATATGGCAGGTTCCATCAGCTGCTGCTGCAATGACTGCTCCTGGCATGTTGGAGTGATCAAACATTACTACTCAAAACTATTCACATGAGGAAAACATTTCTAATAGTAATACAATAAGACAAAGTGTTGGTCATGAAAGATCACACCAACACTGCAAAGGAGTGAGCGGTGCTGCACACCTGAACTGCTGTGGGATCTAACACATGAGGCGTCGCCAATTGTCTGAGCTGTACTGATTTAAACAATAGTTTGACTTTCGTTTGCTTTTGTGTATTACTGCACTGCATCATAATAGAGATATTAACGTTTGAAAAAATGAGGTAGCACACTATTAAAACACCCCTGTAAGGTGCGTCGCAGTCCTCCAAACAACGTTGGAGTACATCCCCTGTGATCAATTTGTCGTACTCCAATTTGTTATTAAGGTCATTTACTTGCTTGGCGCTTTTCGCTGAAAACGTTGATTAAAAACAAGGGGGGTGCAATCATAACTGAAAGCTAACGGCCCATTTAGCAGTTGGTAACATGACGCCGAGCACCTCCCATCTGTGTTCAACCATGCCTGCTTTGTGATGAGCTCAAGCCTGCCAACTTTGCGCCAGCCTGGCACAACGCTCATTTATTCGTCGCGTGGCAAACACAAGACACGCCGTAGAACATGTGTGTCCCATAGTGCTACGAGTACTGATTTGGCAACAAAGTGGGAATCTCTTTGCGAGGCAATGCGGCCTATTACGCTTCAATCACTGCTCCCCAAACCGCTGGCTTAGGAGTGGATACGTGTGTGTTCGTTGCAGCGTGTTGTCGGGGCTGTGACAGACCTCCCGATTCCAAAACATATCAGCTCCTTTACTCCTTTGGAGTGTAGAAGATCAACGGTTGTTCAAATACGTAGTTGGATAGTAATTCCGCGCTGTAAGTCAACAATAAAACGGTGGTTGATCGTGGTAGCTTAGCATGGTCAGGCCTGGCAAAGGCTGATCGCGACAGCTTGCACAATCAAGCCCGTGCTTGACATCAACAACAGCATGCTAAAGATGTGCTACAACACTCACGACGTCATCAAGGCAAATGTCAGCAATGCTCAAACGTTTTTAAAGGGATAATACCTTTTGGGGCTTCAACTGTTAAATTAGGTAGTCGCACAACATCATCTCCAAAAAGTGGGAACACTGGAAATGCAGCAGATTACCTCGTGAACGGCGTTTTCACTCGTTTCCCCCAATTCGTCACGTCGGTTAAAGGCAACGCAGGCCTAACTAAGAACAAAAAGTGCTTTGTTTTCCTGCGTCGTCTCCCCGCTTGTTCGTACTGTAGATAGTTGTTAATGTGAAGCCACAGTTTGCCAGATCCCCTCGGTCGCTGTTATCTGGCTGCGAACATGAGCAGAAGCGCCACTGTCACCGTCCCGTGTCTCTCGCGCCCCCTCTGGGCGTCTGATCAGGTGCAGTCATTGTGATTATACGTCCGCTAGGGAGCGCGCTTAACCCGTCATCAAGTCGCCGCGGCCTATTTTAGGGGTGCTGGAGCCCGACTCAATGCGTTTCTTGCATATTTAGTTATCCAACCAACCATTTTCTAATACGCGTATCTATTTATTTATTAAAACATTAAACAGTTCCATAAAAAGTGTCGAGAAAATTATTTGTCAGAAATGATCACCTAACTGTCCTCCGAGACAAGTTTCTCCTACGGGAGACCAAATAAAAGTCAAATTCAATTCAAAGTTATTATTATCCAGCCACCCATCCATTTTCTGATCCGCTTATCCTCACAAAGGTCGCAGGGCGTGCTGGAGCCCATCCCAGGAATCTTCAGGTAGGAGGCAAGGTAAAACACTGAACCAATCACAGGGCACACAGAGACAAACAATCATTTGCTCTCACAATCACACCTAAGAACAATTTCGAGAGTTCCATTAACCTGCCACGAATGTTTGTGGAATGTGGGAGGAAACCGGAGTACCTGGAGAAAACCCACGCAGACACAAGGAGAACATGCAAACTACACACAGGAAGGACGGAGCCGGAATTGAACCCTGCACCTCTGCACTGTGCAGTCAACGTGCTAACCACTCGACTACCGTCGCCGTAACTTAAATATGATCAGAAATCTGTGGTTTTCCCACTTCAGGAAGGCCCTTTCTGTGTGATCATCAACCCATTCTGCTTAAATATATTGAGCATGTCCTTCTGATTAAAGACTCAGTCCATGTTTTCTTTGCGATCTCGTGACATCACCGGGACTCAAGACTCTTGGACATTGCTTCTCAATTGTTGCCACGTGGGGCCCTGCATTTTTATTTTGTCACGAAGTCATGACCCATTTGAATAGATGCTGACAGCAATTAAGAAACCATAATAGCTACACATACATAGACTACATGTCCAAAGGTGCCTTTCAGAGCACCTTACGACACTGATGATGACCATGACAAGGGCAAACACAAAATGTATTCTTAACATTGTGACTGTGACAACCAAATGTTGTATGTCTGAATTGTTGTAACTGAGACCCTGCAAATGTTGACTACCGGTTCACAACCCACTCAAAACGTGACCCACTTTGGTGTCCCGACCCACCACTTGAGAATCACTGCTCTTGGACACACCCCCTTCACCCACAACATCACTCCAGTCTTTCAACAACACCAATGGCTCCTTGTCTGCTATACCGCATTCAATACAAAATACTGATTTGCACCTTCAAGGCCATGAATAACCTTGCTCTTGTCACCTCTCCGTTCATTCTTCCAATCTGACCATCGTCAAGGACAGAGCCTTCAGTCTCTCTGCCCAGAGAAAACTCACACTGGCACATGCAAGAACATGCAAATTCCACACAGGAGGGCTGGGGCCGGAATCGAACCCACGCCCTCTTCGCTGTGAGGCGGATGCACCAACATGTCTCCCCTGCATCGCCCATAATATTATTATCATCTTTACTCTATAATTTTGGTGTAGGAGTCAGGTGGAAATCCCCCCAAAAATCTGGAAATTTTAACGAAGCAAATTTTGATTTTAATGAAACGTGGTGTACTGCTGCCATCAAGGGGCGTGGCCTCCTTCCTTTGAACTCAGATTTTTTTTTTTATTCAACACACAATTACACTGAATTAATAAGTGAATTAGTTCAGTCTGTTGGCACTTCAAGAAGTAATTCGAGATGAAGCTGACAGATCGTGCTTCACCTTGCCAGAGGCTCCTCCTCCTCCTCCTCCTCAGCCTCACCGTCCACTCTTTTTTTTGGGGGGGGGGGGTCATTACTCTCCTCATGCTGATTAGTTTTGCATGAATACAAGCCTTTGTTGGTCTTCTGTTCCCACGACCCAGCATTCGCCTGGCAGTCGCGTGGCTCCAGTGCACGGGCCCCCACTTCAAGGCTCCAACGATTGTTGGGCATGTGGTCAGTCTAACATCTGCTCAGCAAAACCGTTACCAGCAGATGCTCCCCCACACTCGACGGCAACAAAGTGTGCTCCAGAAGTCAGCTGGGCCCTCGTTCAGCAAACTGCACACTGCGGGTATTTTAGGGATTCGTCTCTCTGAAGTCGCTTTCTCAACAGAGCTGCATGAGTACTGCAGTAATAATTTAATTAAGAAGAAGAATACTTGAATTATCTCGCCAGAGACAATTACGTTGGACATGCTTTGTTGTACGATTGCAAGTGATTTGAATATTCAAAGATGAAGTCCCAGAAAGAATGCGGCTGCAGCAGTACTCCGAAGAAAACCGACATCGTCATAGCGGGCATTTTTTTTTTTTTAATTGATCTTTGTGACATTTGATTTTGTCCAGCACCAACAAAGCAACCACTGAGCACACCAGGCAGTAAGAGACTGTTTTGACGGCCATAGCCTAACTATGTGGTTGCTTTGCAACATTTTTGATATGAATCAAACGATCAATCAAAACTCAGATGAGTTTCAGGATATTTCACTTCAAAACAGAACAATATGCACTCTGCCACACCCAATCTGCATGCGCGTGTGCTCTCGAATTCCCTGCTGATTTGTCAACATTTTGTTTCCATCAGTCTGTGGCCTTTGGGCGCGGAAGGAGGCACCGGCCTATTTGCAGGTGTAATGTAACGGAGCTGTCGCAAAGAATGGCTAAGAGGCTCCTCGGGGCAAATACATGGTAACTGCACACCCTTGTTCATCTCTGGGAGAGCAGGAAACGGCAACTTTTCATGGGTGGTGCCCTGTAAGGGAGTGCATGGTTTCAGGCTGGACATCTGTTGCTCATGCTCACCCCCCATCTCCCCCTCACCCCACCCTGACCCCCAAAGAAGGCCGCTTGGTTCTCTGGGTGAATTTGTTGAATGGAGGCAGTGACCTGGCAGTCGTGAGTGTGTGTGGGAAAATCCCACAGCCAAAGAGATGCTGCATTCACATGCTAATTGTGTTTGTATAAATAGGAGGGCCGTAGCGCGCCGAGGGCCCTAGAGACACGCTTTCGAGAAGGGACTTCCAGCATCATGACTGCTACATCGATGGCGCGCACTGTAGGGAAACACACCAGTGCAAAAGAGGAGAGGAAGGTATGCCGCAATTTGATACCATAGACCATTTTCTGCTTTGAGAGAAACTTCGAACACGTTGCTCTGCTGGGGCGAGTCACTGTCTTGTCTGCCGTTTCATCGAGGTGTATCTTTTGCCTTACGCTTAACAGATGCGGAAGCCTCTCATTGAGAGGAAACGACGCGAGAGGATAAATAATTGTTTGGATCAATTGAAGGAGGCCGTGATCAGCGCCTTCAGACTTGATGTGAGTGCTCCACGTGTCTCGGCTCTCTGTCAAAAAGGCTGAAGAGAAATGAACTTCGTACAAACTGGCCTATTGTCTCTCAACAGCAATCCAAACTCGAAAAAGCCGACATACTCGAAATGACAGTGAAGCATCTGCAAAACATCCAGACCACTAAAGTCAATGGTAAGATTCTTTGTTTTGCCTTTGGGCTCATGTTGTGCCACACGGTAATTTTTGGAAGCAGAGAGCTTCTAAGGATGTCATTTCGATTGTTGATTTTACGACACGTGACGACATATTCTATTCCTAAAAAGCTTCTATGAATTTATTCCCGGGAGGAAACGCCTGCTGCATGCTACCTAGTCACCACTAGGGGGCACTATGTCACATTTTGACCAGCCGTCCTTCCTTGCAGACCCTCTGGAGGCCCAGCAGAGATACAGCACAGGTTACATCCAGTGCATGCAGGAAGTACACAACATGCTCCTCACCTGTGACTGGATGGACAAAACTCTTGGCTCCCGCCTGCTCAATCATCTGCTCAGGTCCCTACCCAGGTCCACCGAAGACCACGCCGTACAACCCACGGCCAGAAATGATGTCCCAACCCTGGTCAGTCAAGACGCTCGACCCCAGCGCACGACTATCAGCAGGGAGCAGACCAGCCACCACGTGTCTGCCGTCTCTAGACGCCAGGAGAGGGTTGACCAGCCGTCCTTCCTTGCAGACCCTCTGGAGGCCCAACAGAGATACAGCACAGGTTACATCCAGTGCATGCAGGAAGTCCACAACATGCTCCTCACCTGTGACTGGATGGACAAAACTCTTGGCTCCCGCCTGCTCAACCACCTGCTCAGGTCCCTACCCAGGTCCACCGAAGAGCACGCCGCACAACCCACGGCCAGAAATGATGTCCCAACTCTGGTCAGTCAAGACGCTCGACCCCAGCGCATGACTCGGAGTATTTATTCGCTATTATAATGTATTGCTTTCCTTCTTTCTTCCGCTTTCTCGGCATTGCATAGATCTTTGTCTGACCCTTTTATTTTATTAATATCGGTCATAATAAAATATATGATTGACTGCGGTTCTCTTGTCTTCATTTTGTTCAGATGTATTAAGGATTGTGTTTCGTTTGACTTTCCTGCAATGGCGTCACACAGCTTAAATGGTGAGTTTGGTTCATGATTGGTAACGGCAGCGTTAAATGTTTGCGGCCGTTGCAATGAGTCCTTAAAAATGCCTCACTCACTTTTGACCGATTTCTTTGATATACAATATTTACTCAACTTAAGCCCGAATGCAGTGGAGTACGAACACATTAACCAAAGACAGACACTAAATGTTGTCAGATGTGTTCGCACCAAAACCGCTTGGTGCAACAGAGGTGCTATGCGGTCAATTCTGTCAGTGTGATTTGTGAAATTTGGAAAACACTCCAATGCTGACAGCAACATAAGATTGAGCTAACTGGAATCCCTCCAACTACAGCCGCATCTCCTATCTCTATGCATGTCACACGACAGTATATGATATTTGTTCAAAACTTGTATGTCAATTAAGTACCCGTAACATTCTAACTGATGCATGTCACAAGGGATAAATATTCTATACTATCACTTCCTAGAGGGTGATGTGCCTCTCCACATTAAACACTGAACGCAAATGGCATTGTGTCTTAATACATTCCCTTTGACCTTGCTACAAAGTTGGTCCACACCATTACACCCCTTTTGCGATATATATTCTTCTACATAGGAGAGGTTCAAGTTCTGCGGCCACGTTTTGACCAGAGGAATTATTTTGTGCTGACTTTGTCAGGAACTGAAATGAAACGGAATCCCAACTCCAAAGGAATTCTGCTGTGCCTGAACCATTCATACACACTGCAGAGTCATACAGTGACAATTGCACAGGGAACACAAAATACCGACTAAGCTACAACTACAACGCAATGTCTTTCATGTCCATTTCTATGGTTATCATCATCATCCTTCTTTACTATCACTGGTACCTTTGTGGGGTGGTTTATTCACTGCACTGAAAAAAATTTTTCGTTGGACTAAACAAAAATAAAAAAAGCTGTAATTTCCATTCATCCATCCATTTTCTGATCCACTTATCCTTGCAAGGGTCGCGGGGGGTGCTGGGGCCTATCCCAGCTGTCTTCTGGCAGTAGGCGGGGGACACCCTGAACTGCTTGCCAGCCAATCGCAGGGCACACATAGACCTACAACCATTCGCGCTCACACTCACCCCTAGGGACAATTTGGAGTGCCCAATCAACCTGCCATGCATGTTTTTGCAATGTGGGAGGAAACCGGAGTACCTGGAGAAAACCCACGCAGGCACGGGGAGAACATGCAAACTCCACACAGGAAGGCTGGAGCCAGAATCAAACCCTGTACCTCTGTGCTGTGAGGCTGACGCGCGAACCAGTCAATCACCGGTCCGCCACATGCTGAAATTTGCTCCAGCTAAATTGATTAGTTTTTCTCAAATTACATTCATGACTGGATTCAAAGCATCCATCCATCCATCCATTTTCCAAACCACTTTATCCTCACAAGGATGGGGGGGAGGGGTGGGGGGCTATCCCAGCTGTCTTCAGACAGTCGGCGAGGGACACACTGAACCAGTTGCCAGCCAATCGCAGGCTTCAAAGCATTATTTTCAAGTTCATGTAAATTATCAACATGATTTTTTTTCAAAGAGACTATTTTTTTTAAAACTTTGGAATTAACTAATTAAATTGCTGTAATTGTCTTAATTAAAATAAGTTCTAGGTCTGAAAACAAAATTCTCAGTAATACAATGGACCCCGCCTTTCTCGGGGGATATGGACCAGGACCACCCATGATTAGCATAAAAAATAAATAAATCTGCGTATCATTGAAATCTATTATAAATGCATTGTAAATACACAAGATTCTAGAAAAAAACATGGATGGACCCCCAGTCATCATTTACCAAGAAAGAGGCGTTTGGCTCTCCGAACAAAAACAAAAACTATCATTTATGCAAAAAAAAAATATATATATTGAAAATAAATTCACGATTAGGTGATTCTGCGGGAAACGAACCGAGAGTAGGCGGGGGTCCAGACTAATGTGCCAAATAATGGTTAAGGTGACTATAACTTCAGAATATATTTTTGTCACAGCAAACATTTAACAGCTACAAGATAAGCACTGGTACAAGCATGTCAAACATCTGCTGTTTCAAATACTAAATCACAAATTTCAATACGTGCATTGAAATCACACGGGAAGCATGATTAGAAATCTTAGTTTTTGCACATTAGTTACACATTTTACCTGCTAGTCTGTATAAAATATGAATGCATTGTAGAGGAAAAACAAAGTCACGGACAGTGCCCTCATAATGCAGGGCTGAGAGTGACTCCTGGGTGTTTTATGGGCATTGATGTCGAACTCATCAATGGGATTTCAAAGCTATACATATGGCCCATTCTCCGTCATGATGGTCGTTATGACTGGCCCCCTTCATGTAGCCAGGCGGCAGGACACGGAGGGGGATGCTTGGTCCCTCCTCGAGCTATCCAACAAAGGCCGGTCGGGACAGCTGCTCCCAGTCCGCACCATTAAAAGATGTGGCGCAGGGGATCTGGGGGTGGCGAGGTGCCAAAGCCATTCCACTTCAAAGGTCTGAGACGCTTCCTTCATTTGGGGCAGTAGAGTTTTACTGACGCTTCTTGCAGAATGACGCGCTGGAGTGGCATTTTCCGTGCGTATTGATAAATCGAGATGCACCGTGCGCATCTTTCATCAACAGCTCAATGTGGGGATCGTGCACGTGCCGAAGATTGCACAAAAGGTTGAGAACAGAGCGTATGATGCAAAAAGGAAGTGGAGGAAACAAAGAGCTATGGTTTCACTACAATATTTGTAAAAAAAAAAAAAAACACAACTTTTTTTTTTTTTTTTGAATGCCGTTTTCGCAAATGGGGCAATCTCGTGTCAGATTATGATGTTGTGTGGCGGATAACGTGGGAATAGTTGCGCACCAATCAGGAGTCGACAAACAGGGAGAACAAACGCATATGCAGCAGGCTCAGACCAACACCTGTCGCTTTCTTTGGATAAGGGCCCTTCATTCCCCCGGCTGCTGATTCTGTTTGGGCCGAGGGGCCGCCAACAGCAGCTGCCAACTGAAGGCATCGCGTTACATCCGCCCAACAGGCGAGACGACCTGCTGAGGCTTGGACACAAATGCGAGCAAGAAAGTGGAACGGTCGGGCACAACAAATTTCATGCAGACAGACAATCAGGTACGCCTTGTGGAATCGAACGAGAGCACTGACAAGAAGAACGTTCACGATGGAGCTTTTGTTTAGAACGATGCTCATTTTTTATGACATTTACAGACATTTAATCATGAAATGACTACATTTCATATTTTAGATGTGCTCTGCCCGAATATAATTCTCAAATTGAAATCATGTTATTTCTTTAGCTTCAACATTACGACAAGCACATCACAGACTCGATCTTGTAATGCACTGGTGTCAAAGTCAAGGCCCGGGGCCCAGATCTGGCCCGCCACATCATTTTATGTGGCCCGCGAAAGCAAATCAAGCATGTCAAGTTCCATGATGCTTGTTAAAGTCGGAACCAAAATTTCATATTTTCATATTACATATTGTCATATGTAATCCACAATAACAGTTATTATTTTTGACTTCTGATTTTAAAACTAGTTATTCATCAATTTGTTGTGCGCTGTATGTAATATGTGTAGGGGATGAAAGATTTATATGGTTTCCCAAAATTCATAACGGCCCTCCAAGGGAAACAGTAACTACAATGTGGCCCGCGACAAAAATGAGTTTGACACCCCTGTTAATGGATCCCAACTCATGCAGTTTTTTTTTTTTTTTTTTTGCAATCTCATCCTGGTGCTGGTGAGTGTGCCGCTTGCTGCGACACGAATTAAAACAAATAATTAGGACACACAATATATGAAATTTTATGTACATATAATTTGCAATATGTCACATGTGCCTATTAAAGTTTGTCTTTTGTATGTAATGAGTCTATCTATCTATCTATCTATCTATCTATCTATCTATCTATCTATCTATCTATCTATCTATCTATTTGTGTGTGTGTTGTGGGTCAAATACACTCGTGTTTGGAACAATGCCCACAAGAGTACAATAGTACAGCTGCTACATTAAAGTAAATAATTATTCTTTTTTTTTTTGTAGCATTTTGTACATTAGCTTACTCTTGGAGAAAATAGCTTGCCAGCTGTCTTTTTACCTATTATGTTAAAAAAAAAAAGAGAGAGAGCGAGAGAGAGAGAGAGAGAGACAGAGAGAGAGAGAGAGAGAGAGAGAGAGAGAGAGGGAGAGAGAGAGAGAGCACTTTTTGCGGCTTTAAAACCATTCATTCAAGCAGCAAAAAAATGGAGCGGTCGTTGCCTTGACACAAAAAAAAAAATCACCCATTTAAATCTGACCAGCTCTTGTGCGGCTGACCGGAGACAAAGAGCTACTTGCCTATTGGCTGCCGCCGTGTGCGCCCTGTTGTCCCCCAGCAGGAACAGCTCGGCCCCTATTCACATGTAAATAAAGCCCTATAAATACTAGTAACAACAAGTCAGCCGGCGACAGCAGCACGTCTCACTTGGATTGCACATTTAAACACAAGCCAGGCGGCAGAGAGGGAGAGGAGAGGAAAGCTCGACCAAGCAACATGGCTCCTTCTGCTCGGCATAGCAAGACCGACTTTGGCGTGCAAGAGGAGGAGTGCTACTATGGCATCCGGAAGGTGGACAGAAAGGTACACGAAAAGGAAATAGGAGGCTGCGACGCACTGGGATGCAAGGCGACGTGGGAGTAAATATGTGGAAATGTTAATGTGTTGCAGACTAGGAAGCCTCTGGTGGAGAAGCAGAGGCGAGCTCGCATCAACGAGAGTCTGCAGGAGCTGAGGAGCTTGCTGGCTGATTCGGACGTGAGTACGCGCGCGCGCGCGCGCGCGCGCGCACACACACACACACACACACACACACACACACATACAAGCACATGCTCGCGCACCTCACTTCACTCAAATGACACTAACGTGCAGAATTTACAGTGAACTCCATTTCCACCCCCACCGCCCTTTTAACAGTTGCACTCCAAGATGGAGAACGCGGAGGTGCTGGAGATGACGGTGAAAAAGGTGGAGGATGTCTTGAAGAACAGAACGCAAGGTTTGGATCTCTCCGATATTATTCAAATATAAGATGAAATAAGCATTACTCTTTGAAACGGAAATCCAGGAGGGTGAAATGCAATTCATTGGTGTCACTCACTATGCGGTCAAAGAAACATGGCTTGTAATCAGTGACTGTCCTCAGTTGCATGGGTTGGATGAGATTAGTGATTTCCCAACCAGTAGGATGTCAGAGCGGTGGGTGGCCTGGTGGTCCAGTGGTTATCACGTCGACCTCACAGTGCAGAGGTTCTGGGTTTGATTCCAGCTCAGGCCTTCCTGTGTGGAGTATGCATGTTCTCCCTGTGCCTGCGTGGGTTTTCTCCGGGTACTCCGGTTTCCTCCCACATTCCAAAAACATGCGTGGCAGATGAATGGAACACTCTAAATTGTCCCGAGGTGTGAGTGTGAGCGTGAATAGTTGTTTGTCTCCTCGTGCCCTGCGATTGGCTAGCAACCGGTTCAGGGTGTCCCCCGCCTACTGCCCGAAGACGGCTGGGATAGGCTCCAGCACCCTTCACGACCCTTGTGAGGATACAGCGGATCGGAAAATGGATGGATGGGATGTGAGAGATCATAAACTGATCGAGTTTCCCTTAATTGGTCGGTCACAAAATATTTTTTTTCTACAGCGAGATATCTTTGATCAACTATCTGAGCCATAGACGTATAATGGAATACTCTTTCACTCGAGAGCAGAAAGTACATGCTATATGTAATCTGTTTATCTACTTTTTGTCACATTTTTGTTTTGAGGTGTGCGTTGGTTAAATAAAGGTTGGCAAACATTGGACTCGATCCCTGAGTCCCCACTTTATCACAATTCGTCACGATATGAAAATATTTCGGACAATTGCCATGCTTCCAATTTTGGGTGAACCTGTTTGTTGAATGCTTGGAGGAGTTTTGTGTAGAAGAACACTAGAGCCCTGACTTCAACCCTACCAAACATTTTTGGAAACTCGACAGTGAATGGAGTGGAGTCAGGCCCTTTCTCAGGTGCAACATTGAGGAACTCTGACATCACAAATCCAACAGATAACGCTCCAAAACCCTTTAAGGAGCCTTTCCGGTTAGAGCTGCGAAATTGCATGTTATCTTTGCAGTTTCAGTAGGTATCATGCACAGGCGTTGTGATACTTTATGCTCAAATAATGTAATGCCGTGACAGATCAACAAGGGCGGTGCAGGAAAGTATCTAAGTTCACCTAATTTGTCTGATTTAAAAAAAAAATGTTCATAACTTTGTTCATCTCTTTATGCCAGCGACATATAGTGTCAGGCAGAACCATGATATGCTCTTCCAAGCCTGTCCCCGTTAAAATACAACAGAATAAGTAATAACTGCAAGAATGTCAACTGAGAGAGGACCCTCCTTATACAGCGATCCCTTGCTCTAATGCTGTTCACCTTCCGCGGCTTCGCTGTTTCACGGATTTTTTTTTCAGTGCAGTATTTCCAAAAACTATTATAGTTATTTGTTGAAAACGTTTTTTTTTGTTTTTTTTTTTGTGCTTGGGCCTGAAAACAGGTTTTGGTCTTTGGTTTCATTGTATACATAGTTCAGTATTGTATAATAACTGTAAAAAATAAATAACTGTAAAAAATAAAGCTCACTACTTCACGGATTTCACCTATCACTGGTTCTTTTTGGAATATAACCCCCGCGATAAACGAGGGATTACTGTATCAGTCTTTTTGTTGAGCGGTGTGTCATGAAATATTTTTGTGTAAAATTTTTTTTTTTTTCCACTACCTAAATTATACACTTATGTACCCAGGTTTTAATTGTCAAGTGTGACTGGCATATGTATAAGTATACTTGAGTGAGCGTAGCCCCCCCCAGTAGCATTGCATCTACAGGATGCAAATTTTTCTAAATTTCTATGCGTTAAACTGTCAATATGTGTATGGACTAAAAATACCTCCAAGCTATCTGAAATGAAAGTCCAGTGGAGTTTTGACCAATTTAGTTTGTCCCCAATCTCCTTGCTCCAACAGAAACAGACACGCTGAGCCACGAAGCAAGCGAGCGGTTTGCAGCCGGCTACATCCAGTGCATGCACGAAGTCCACATGTTTGTGTCCACCTGCCCCGGCATCGACGCAACCGTGGCCGCCGAGCTGCTCAACCATTTACTGGAGTGCATGCCCCTCAACGAAGACCACCTCCAGGACATGCTGATGGATCTAATCGCGGACACGTCCGGGAACGCGGGCGGCACGTGGCGCGGAGGCGGAGACCCGCTTTGTTCAACGCTGGCCTCTCCCGGGGGAAGGAGCATGTCCTCCGGCACGTCAAGCGAGGACTCGTGCTCCGATCTGGACGACACCGACAGCGAGCACAACCAGAGCACTGCGGAGGCTTTGGAAAACAGGGAAGCTTTGAGCACGCCCACCACAACCTACTCCAGGTCCATGTGGAGACCTTGGTAGGAGACTGCCGGTTTCCACGAGCTGCATGGATCTGTGGGCGCCTTTGAACGGAATGAGGAAAAATTCCACCCCAAAACAAACACTTAATAATTACAAACGAACAGACTTTTCTTCCGTCACCTCATCCGTGGATTTATATCTGGTCTCCATAACTCACCTTCACAAGATAAAGACAAAATGACCCTGTGGATCCATGGGATGGTTCATTTTTTTTTTTCTACTCAGTCTCATTTCAATTCTGGAAATACTAAAGTCCACTCAATGCACATGCCAACAAAAAGTGTTTTGCAGCCAGCCGTTGGATTTTGCAGCTTCATTGTTCCGTTTGAAGAGTGGATTTTCCTTTAGGCACGTCAATGAAGTAGTGGTTAGCACATATGCTTCCTAATTCTCAAGTCTCGGATTCCAACCTTGACTTTGGGCTACCTGTGTGGCATTTGCATGTCCTCCCCATGCATGCATGCATGTTTTTTTTTTTTTTGGTCCAGCTTCCTCCCACATTCCCAAAACATGTATGCCATGTTAATTGAAGACTCCAGATTGTACATGGATGTGATTGTGAGTGTGAAAGGTTGTTTGTCTACTTGTACCTTGCCATTGGCTGGCAACCAGTCGGGATTGTACCCCGTCTCTCGCCAAAGTCAGCTGGCATCGGCTCCAACCCACCCAATGATGACCCCAACGAGGAAAAGGAGTGTCCATAACACTGGTCAAAGGCAAATTTTAATCAGACATAGCTTTCCTTATGTGTCCCTAATGTATTTTTGACACTGATTTCAGAATTGTCTTTACTTTTCATCCAATACATCCATTTTAGAGATATATTCTTTTTTTTTTTTTTTTTGGTTTGTAAGATTGAACTATAAAAGATGATGTAATTTATAGCTATAATGTTTCTGAAAAAAAAAACAACCTTTAATTCAGATAAATATTATTATTATTACTATGAAAACCTGATGTGCTAAAGCACATGTGTCAAAGTCAGGGCCCGGGGGCCAGATCTGGCCCGCCACATCAATTTATGTGGCCTGCCAAAACAAATCAAGCATGTCAAGTTCCATGACGCTTGCTAAAGTCTGAACCAAATTTTCAAACTGTCATATGTAATCCACAATAACAGTCATTATTCTTGACTTCTGATTCATCAATTTGTTGTGCGCCGTGTATGTAATATGTGGAGGGGATTAAACATTGATATGGTTTCCCAAAATTCATAACGGCCCTCAAAGGCAAACCGTAACTACAATGTGGCCCGCGACAAAAATGAGTTTGACACCCATGTGCGAGAGGAAAAAAAAACCCAAAACAAGGGCACATTCGGAATCAGTGAAAAAAAGGCATTTAGAAAAGTTTACCTCTCATCTCAGATTAAAAAAATGCATTAAAAAATCTGTCGACCAGTGTTACGGTTGCATGGACGGATTTCCCTTGAGGGGGGCATGTGGCCCGATAACAACACTCTTCCTCACACTTACAGTTCAGCCACGATGGACAAAATGAGGAATTGACCCCTGTTTATGTGAATAACTTTCATGTACTGTATATAGGATTTGTATGGGGAGAAGCAAGCTCTTTTAGAAAATGTAAGTTTGGCAGTGCCTCTGATTAATATAAATACAGTATTTTTAATGTATTCCATCAAGATTTGTAGTTTTATCTGTCCTGTAAACTCCTTTAGAATGTTGTGTTGCTATCATGTGTAGATCACTGACTTGGATGAATAAAATATTTTAACGGAAATGGTTTAAGCATACAAGTCATGTGACTTCATGTGAAGATTTTTTTGGGGGGGGGGGTCAAATTTCGTGTTTTGTGGGGAACTAGCTGTTGATGCGAAGATGTTCTTTATACTGCCGTGGGAGTCACAGCACATCCGTTCTATGAGTTAAACTCAGCGTTGCAAATTGCTTTTACTTTCTGCCTCAGCAGGCATGCACACTGTCAAAACAAATACGTCACACTGCTGGTTCAAATCAAGTTTTGCTGACAGCTTCGCATCCTTGACACACAAGCGGTTAGAACTTCACGCATTGTACCAGACGGGGTGTGTTGAAACATAAACAAAAAGGAACCAAGTACCGAATGTGGGGCTCATTCCATCTGACTGATAAATGAATGAATGGATGAACTGCTTTTTCTGTGTAAGAAAATGTGATTTGCTTGATACGATCTTGAACTTGATTCTGGTCTGTTTAGTAACTCCCTCTACGAGCTATTTAAAAAAAAAAAAACTGAGATCCATATTCTTCATTAGATGTCAGAATACATCAGTGTGTAGATACTCTTGAAGTGGAATTATTTTTATGCTCATGTTATCTTTTTTTATACCAGATTAAGGTGTCAAGTTATTATTTACTTACAATCTCTCCATATATTTAAAAACAACAATTGAGTGGTTGAATGTTATTCTTGCTTTTGACCTGCTTAATTTGAATTTGTACAGTATTAAAGTTGAATTCAGTTTTTTTGTTTTCAGAGAATTGGATAAAAAGACTTGAAAATGAGAACGCAGTGCAAGACAATGTTTGCATTGGTTCTCATTCGATGTGAAAGCGCACAGGCCGTGGCCGGTGAGTGTGCGTTCTCGTTCGAGCATCCTCTGCTTTGAGTCGCACCTCTTCTCAGATGAGCTCATTGACAAAAAGCTGTGAGATCCTGTCTGGATTGTATGGACTGAAAATCAGAATGCACCGACAGCCGTCTTCTTCCTTGATGACAAAACCAAGCAATTGTGAAAAACGCTCAGTGAAAAGAAATGTGTGTCCATTTCACATTCCCTGAATTGAATGACTGAATATTTGAATTGAATATACGGTGTCGGATGATCCTCCAGTCTTAAAAGTATTTAAGGCAAGTAATTAGCAAGGCTGAGCGGTGGAGGGGTGTGAAAGTGACAGGAAACACATAAGGAGCTCCAGTGATCAAAGCTGCGGCTGGCCATTTGACAGGGAAGCGTCAAAGCCTCGCAGAGCTGAAAAGAACTTGGAAAGGATACGGGTTGGCTCTGGTTCTTCAAAGACAAGGCACAACCATGTGCACGCACACACAACACACACACACACACACACACACACACACACACACACACACACACACACACACACACACACACACACCGAGGCCACAACATCTCAAAGCGTATTAATACTTAAATAATGAAGATCTACTCTCACTTTAACCAAACTTAATTTCATGACGTGAAATCGGCGCCTGTTTAGTTGAACACAAAGCTGACAAACATACAGGAAGCTTGCATGACTTATTCTGTTGCAACGGATGTCAACCGGTGGATGCGCGGGTTTATTGTACCTTCGGGCAGCTGGGATAGGCTCCAGCACCCCCGCGGCCGTAGTAAGGATAAAGCGGTTCGGAAAATGAATGAATGAATCAATTTGCTTGACTAACCAAAAGCAATTGTGTGGAACAGGGTGAAAATTAAGATATTGATTGTTGACAACACAATGATTATTGACAATTGACAAAAGTATTCGTGGTCGAATGAGCACCCTTCCATGGAACAATTTCTCTCCACCACTACCATCTTCTCAGTTCAATTAACTTTGTGTCGAACCAATCAAACAGGAGATAGGACTTGAGCGTCTTCGTGAATCAGCTGTAGGGTGGTGGCCAGTGCATATCAGTTTTGTTTCAAAGGTCAGCTTGGTGAATGCAACAGTTGGCCTGAGAGAAATTTAACGGCCGCTAGGCAGCATATGGCGCTGAAAAGGATCCCTGGGGAGCCCGCGGGCTACCCTCGACTGTCTTTGACTCTCACAGAAGAATCACTTCTTGCAGCAGCAGCAGCCCAACTCGGGACCGACCTCCAAGCAGTGTTGGGCGTGCCTTCGGACTACGAACAGTTCCCAGTCCACAGCCGACAACTGGGTCTGCAGGTACGCGGGTCGCTGCGGCTTTAGGAGCCGCTTTGGGACACAGTTGGAGGTTGCTCAACAGCAACAGTAGCAGCAGCAGGCTGAACATCAAAAGCATATTTTATGTTGAGAAGTATCCGACCGGATTAAGAATGTTTTTTTTTTCCCCATTTATTCACTGAGGCACGTGAGTGTACAGTTGCAGACAGAAGTTTAAGTGACCTCATCATGGGCCTAAACGTCCGATTAACTTATATTTATTTTTATTGATTGATTGATTTGAATTTATTTTGGATTTTCTGTAATCGGCGGCATGGTGGGCGACTGTTTTAGCACATCGGCAGAGTGCAAAGGTACCGGGTTCAATTCCAGCTGCGGCCTCCCTGTTCACCCCGGGCCTGCGTGGGTTTTCTCTGGGTACTCTGGTTTCCTCCCACATTCCCAAAACATGCATGGCAGGCTGATCGAACACTCTAAATTGCCCCTAGGTGTGAGTGTGAGCGCGGATGGTTGTTCGTCTCTGTGTGCCCTACGATTGGTTGGCAACCGGTTCAGGGTGTCCCCCGCCTACTGCCTGAAGACGGCTGGAATAGGCTCCAGACTTTGGAGCATGGGGCTGGAAACGCATTTCAAGTGAAGAATGCAACATTCCTGTGAAGTCAATGGGTCGCAGGCTTGATGCAAGTAGATGTTATTGCAAGCAAGGGTTATGCTGCAAATGAAAGTGAATATAATCATGTTCCAATACTTTGGCTCAATTAAAAAGTGGGTGGCTTCAAACAAAAGCTGCCCTGTCTTGAATTGTTAAATACTTAAACTTTTTGTTGTTCCATTGATTTTCTGACCATGATGTCACTGCACCTCCTCAAGAAAAGCATTTAGTCGAGACAGTAAGAAAGAAGTTCACAAGAACTGCAACTGGGAAGTTATCGTTCCTTATTTTTCTGATGTTTATGAATCACAAATCTCAAAATCGATCAGTTCCAAATAGTCAATGCTTTTTGGGCTCTTGTTCAAAACGTGGCCGCGCGACTTCCGATCAGTTTTGTGCCCGAGGTTTACGTGTGTATTTTTTTTAACCTGCACCTTTTATCAGTCATTGCTTTTTATGAGAAATATCTGTATTTGTAGGCGCAACATGTATCATACCAACACAACTGCTTTCTCTACTGTTTAAATAGTTCTTGTAATTTTATTACAACATATTACAACAAAGTTTCAAACACAAATCCCTACATACAATAATGCACAAAACTGCACTATAGTTGAATATAACCAGACTCATACAGTGGCAACAAAATATATGGACATGACACGACCTCATGTGCCAGTACCGTGTATGTATATGTATTTACAGGTCAGGTTTCCTCTCATTCACTCACAACTCTCCCCAGTGTGGAATTCATTGAATATTGACTTCCCTCTTTGTGGAAAAGAGTAAGGCGTAAAACATTCTCCATGTTCCCATTCCCGATGTATGGACCGCATTTGCACTCTCAATGCTTTCCACACCCAAGAGCTTTGGGGAATCCTCAGCACAGAACTGAGACACATAGGGAGAGTAAATGGGGT